GTGGCTAATATGGTAACAATATCTTCATCGGTCAACCTACACCAATAACTTTTATATATACAAAAAAAAATTGTCACAATCTGTGCTAATATGTTATTATTTTATTTTAATTTATTAAATATTATTAATTAAAATAAATTCTAGTGCATATATAAAAATATTCTCTCCTATTTGTCCATATATGTAAATTACATATATCTCCACTACATCTGTAATTCCATTACATACATAAATAACATTATCTCTCAAGGAAAGAGCTCCCACCCAAGCCAAGAACAATTCCGACCATGGCAGAAGAATTTCATGCAGGGATTTGTGGAAGTAAAAGCATGGGACCTTGTAGGAAGGTACTAAAGATCCAGGAAGCAAACGCAACCAGTTTTCATGGATACTTCCGGTGTGTATCCTGGAAGCTCGTCTGCCCATCAACTTGTCATATTCTTCCTCTTTATATGCCACTCTCTTTCTTTTCCACTCAATTCATCAATGGCTTCTCACGAAGAAACATACGCCTTGGAACTCATCAGGCAACACCTCCTCGCTGATTTTGCTTCCATGGAACCCCAGAAACCGTCGTCTTCTCTGAGCCAACGCCGTCCTTCTATCAACGTCACCATCCCACCACAGCCCAAACAGCTTACCGTCTATGTTGCACGGGAACGGCAGAGGAAGGGGTTTCAAGTACCCGAAACGTCCCCAGCGAGCACCGAAACGTCCCCCGTATTGTTCGGCCGTACCCTGCCACCGTGGCACATCCCCGGTACGTACCCCGGCCGTCTCCGTATCGTCCCCGTGCCAGGGACGTTTCGGGTACTTGAAACGCCCTTCCTCTGCCGTCCCCGTGCAACATAGTTGCTGACATTGGTAAGGGATTTTGTTTGACAGTGCAAAGGCAGGGGTGTGGGACCAGTTGCTTTGAATCTATTATTGGTGAGCAGAAAGTAAAAATGTATTTTTGAAAGTTCATGGTAAAAAGACTGGTTTTGTTTTCCCCATTGTTTTGTTTTAGACTGAAACAGGCAAAGCCGACAAAAAATGTCTGTAATTTTTCCCTTGCATGAAGAAACAGACAAAACTTGGGGCTTTGAAGTAATGGGATTTTGAAGTCATTCATTCAAGCAAATGCTGAAACATCCTTATCATCTTTAACAGTAAAAAAGCTCATTGTTTTTCCATAACATGAAAATTACCCGGCCGTTGCATGTTTTTCATGACACAAGGCTGAAAGATGGGTCATACCAGAAGGTGCAATTTTTTCGTACCCTGTTTTTAGTGGGATGCCTTGACACCCAATGGGGTCGGTTGTTTTTGTTGTCTTTATCTTTCTTACCTCTGCAACATTGATTTGTCCTCTTGTGTTCTTTGGTCTGGTTTTGAACAGGCATGTTCTTTTTTGCGTGTGAAAAGTTAGCCGTTTCATGAATTTCAGTGTGGTGATAGCTAAAACCCTATTTCCATAAAACAAATATGATGAATTCGTTGGGGCATTATAATAATTATTTAGGTTTGGGTCAATTTTTTAGCCCTAAATCCGACTCCAATTTTTTCCTTCACAAAATTCACTTTTGAATTCGAATTTCAAAAGAAAAAATCTAACTCTATTGGATCAAGGGGGAACTCACTAGCTTCGGGTACTTAACAAAAGCAAAAACTGACCATCCATGCAAATAGTGAACAAGTTTACCAGGTGAATAATCCATCTCATAAATGCACTGAAATCAGTAAGTCATCCCAATACAAATGGGATGCTTCCCTTTTGGACCCTTTCTATTTGCAAATTGTCGGTTGAATTCGAGTTGCTCGCAAGTTTTTCGAGTTAGGTATAAAAAGTTTGTTTCACCTCTTTAAGAACTCGAGTCGCGTATGTTGAAAATAGAAACTGCAAAATGAAATCGTTAGCACCGACTGTAAATTAATAAAAATGATTAAACAATAAATCGAACAATCGTGTCATGATATAAAACACTGCCTTAGAAACGAATTTCGCCTCGAAGTGTGTAATCACTTCTATATAGTGGTCGTCCCTTGAGGTTAATACAACTCACTGAAAAATCGTATACCCGAATTTTCAGAGTGAACTATTAAGGGATTGTTCTTCTCACGATAAAAAGGAAGAAAACCTTTCGAAGGATTTATAAGAAAGAAGATTTTTATTGTTGGATAATTGAAATGAGAGAACAAACCTCTCTATTTATAGGCTTACATAAGGGATAAAAACATAAAACAATAAATCAGTAATAAATCACTGATTTAATTTCAAAAATGAAATGTTGTGAATTTTCTTTTATAGCTGATTGAACCTGGCCTCAAAATTGTCCAGATTCATTCATGAATATAGCTGATGAGACAACTTTTAAATCAGCAAATAAATTGCTGAAAAGCCACGAAATTTAAGATGTTGTCTGCTATCATAATGATACTAACCTAGCCCCAATCAGAAATTAACAGCTAGCATAGCTGTTAAAATACAACAAATTAAATTTCGTATTTCCATAATGTCAACCATTTGACAGATAATTCCAGCAATTAATCTGACCAATTTGAAAATTTATTTGCCTATAAAAATGTTTTAAAAATTCTCATTTCAATTTCAAAGAAATTCTTTCGTATCTTCTCTAAAAACATAAACACATATTACCACAACTAAACAACAACAATGGCACACATGTAAGGGAGTCATCTAACCACACTTAACAAGGGAGGGAAAGAATTCCCCTTTAAATACCTTTCCAAAGGTATTTTTCCTCCCAATGTGGGATAGGTGCCCTTAACTTTTAGGGACAACTAATAGAGTTCATTCAATTCAAGTACTGACTGAGTTTGATCGAATCAAATTCGAATAACTTACGACTTATCTCGTCTCATTTACAGTCATAACCAACATAATGCAGGCTTAATAACCAACCAATTGCTACAAGTGATCAAACCACTAAAGAAGCATGTAAAAGAGTTGAGGATGCTTGGATTTTGGTTAGCAAAGCTAGTTCCATAGAAAATGAATGATCCCATCCCATCTTTAAATTCAAGAGGAAAATGTTTGCTCCAACCGGAGAGAGAAGCTTGTTGTTATACTTGGTTACTTGCTAAAATACATGTCAGCATCACCCATTTAAAGTTTTGAACACTCTTTTTATATACATAATGAGCCAGACTTGCAGTGTATACTTTCCCAAAACTTGGGTATATTTTACATTCCACATTTTACAATGCTTCCAATTTCTAATATGGTCCAAATATGGAAAAAAAAAACAATGAGTTTAATTATCCTAAAGTTAAATATGATTCATGGGAGTCAATAAGATCGTGTATCATAATGAAAGAGTTATGCTATGAATCAAGGTCTATGAATTACAGCATTAAGTTCATATACCTCAAAATCTGCAAATGCAATTCATCATTGTTTGAAGAATCAGCATTGTCACCCCCATACGTAAAATCACCCTAACATGAGTAGGTGATAAACGATCATGGTGAAGGTGCAGAGGCTCAGACATGTATGCACTCATTTGTTCCTTTTTTTCCCCAGCACTCATTTGTCCAATCAAGTGGTGTCACATATCACCATCTAATTCGAGATTAAACTTGTTAAATTGAATTAAAACTATGCCCAAATGTTGCGGATGACATCTATCGAATAGAGCAAAATCGTAACTGATAATTTGAGAAAATAAAATATGAAGATGAAAAAGACACAAAATTTACGTGGAAAACCCCTAAATAATATAGGGTAAAAACCACGGGCAACGGTAGAAGAATTTCACTATGAGAAAATAGGAATTACAACTTCTCTCGATCTACCAAGGAGAAAACAATGATAATTCTCTCTTGATAAAAAGGAGAAAACAACTCTCAAGAAACTCTCTAAATTCTCTCTAGTATTGGAAGAAAGCTAGAATGCTTTGGGATGATTTTGAAGCTAAATGAGCTAGGGTATTATAGTTAAAGTTTAAGGACTAATTTGTAAATACCCTAAATTACAATGACTAAATTGTGTAATTTACCCTTTAGAAAAATTCAACAAATGCTGCTAATTTTCTTCTCCCACAATTTCGATGCATTAATGCACCGAAAGCAGCCGAAACAATTGACTTTTAACACCAAATTGATAGAATATATAAATATTGAGGACTAAATGTATAATTATAAAATTAGATAATTAGGTGATCTGATCGACAAAATTAAAAAATGTGATCAAGTGATATGATCGACACAATTAAAAGATCAATGATCAAATTGAAAAACAATAATAGTTAAGTGATTGCTAGTATAGCTTACCCATAAATCTACAAATCCATACACCAACCAAAATCATGAATTTAATTAAATGAATTTTCAACAAAATATTATGTTTGAATTTCAAAACCGAAACACATGAACCATAGCAAAAGACATAACAGAGCATTCAGTTCCGATGTAGGGCAAACCAAGTATTAGCATCAGATTATCCCAAACATTTAACTACAAAACAAGATTCGGCTCTTGCATATGTAATGTTATGTAATGGCTTCTAACTTCAAATCACATGTCAAAATGCCCTTTTCCTTTGCCTGCTTTAACATTTTCTTTTTGCCATAAAGCTACATGCCCCATATGAGTTCTATCATCACGGCCACAATCACTAGGGACGGGAATTTCCCAACCAGACATTCCAACCTGACTTTATAAGATCGTCTTTTTCTTTTTAATTTAGGTTTATATTGAATCATGTTTTAAGTGAAAAATACTTAAATCTAGTCCGGCCTAAAATAATATATATATCCTTTAAATGTTTAAGGATAATTACAATAATGTTTTATATTCTTTTCGATCAGGTCCCTATTCTACCTAATAAAAATAAATTATACATGTGTGTATATTACCTGACTAGGTGTAAATGTTTAGATCTCCTTTTATATATATATATGACGTATATTTGAATAACAATATAAATACAACTAGACCGATACTCGTATCCGACACTAATGTCTGAAAAAGTAGCATGCAAGCAATCAGTGTGAAAGTGAAAGTGAAAGATCATGTTATTACCAAATACACAGAAAAATACAAATCAATCGTCAAGAACAATAACCTTAACCAGACTTTCAGAATACAGTTTACTCTGCCAATTATCATCAACTATTCACTTAAAACAATGGAAAGAGAGAAAGGAAACCCAGAGTTACGAAGATGATGAAGGTCCAGAAATCAAGCCAGCATTTTCTTCATCATACAAATCATCTGTCTTCCTCAACGAGGTGTGCAACAAGACGACAACCGCACCGATCGAAACCGAAACCAAAATGTTGCCGGTCACATCAATCAACAGCAATAACACGAAGGTAGAAAGTCCCAGTGCAATGAGAATAACACAATCGTCGATCGTGCGGTTGAAAACAACTAAGGGTTCGTCCCGCAGGAAGTACAAGAACAACCAAAGGGCCATCATGATAACGAGGACTACGAGGGAGATTGGGTGCCATTGTAGGCTGATGAAAAGGATGATGAGCACGATCATGGTGTAATTCATGCGGAAGTAACACACGTTAGTTTTGAACCTGGAAATGGCTTCGGAGAGAGTCCGAGGGAGGTTGATGGAGTGGGTGTTGAACATGAGTTTCCATGGACGTCGAGCTCCGAGGCCCTCTTGAATACGGTCTTTGGCTCGAGAAAGGTATTTGAGGTTTGCCGAGGGCAATGAGGAAGTCGGGATCGTGCCATAGGTTGTCATGGCCAAAACAAAATTTCCAAGGCTTTGTTTTTGGGGTAATGGAGAGAAAGGAAATCAAGAAAGGGAAGATGGTCGTAGGGGTTAAGCAATAAAGCGTTTATGAAGGGAGCGGGACGATGTCTTTAAAGATGCGATGCGTTTCATTTACTTATTTTTTATTTATTTTAAATATATTCTTAAATGAAGTTAAAATTTACTCCATATTATAAGAAAACAGAATTTTAGTCCATTTACTAAAAAAAGAATATTTTAATTCAAAATGTTGAAATTATAATTAATTGACTTAAATATTTCAGTTTTAGCATCATTTGTGTCTTTGTCAATTTTGAAATTAACAAATTAATTCCTTTCAAATGACATTCGCCCAAATGTGATGAGATGAATTTTTAAATAAAATTAAAAAAAATATATAATTTTAAAAATTTTAATCATTTTTAATGGAATACGTACTCTCACCCCAAACATAAGTATTATAATTAAATTCCCATTATTTTTATTAGTAATTTATTATTTTATTTTTGATAATTTTTACATAAAATTTCTTAAATACTTATGAAATCTAAATATAAAATTAATCAAGAGTTTTTAAAACTATTTTTGTGTGTGCCCCTGACTGTACTTGAAATCTCTAATGTAGCTTCGTAAATTTGTTTGGTTTGCAATTTTTATATTTTGGATTGAATAACTAATGTATTGTGTAATTACTTTTGATTCAAATAAACTCACTAAAAAAATCATATTCTAACTTAAAATTCTATTGTCTTGCTTGCAAATATAATACAAACCATAATTTAGAAAGTAACATTAAATATTTGTTTTATTTTTGTAAATATATTTTAAATCTTAAAATTCGACTTTGATTGCCTTCAAATAGAAAAAGAGGCAAAAAACTCGACTTTAATTACATAAACTTCAGCAGTAATCTTTATTTTTATTACAATATTTATATTAATATCCCCGAGATGTTTAAAGTCCAAACTACCCTTCCATTCAAAAGAAGGATAAGTTAGAGAAAATACTACACCAAGACGTAGGGACAGCAATAATGGTTGGATTCAAAACAGAGACGTGGGCATGGCCAATAGGCAATTCCGTGTGAAGCAAAGATAATACAGATCATAAACAAGCAATGCAAGAGCCTGTAATAATATAACTTTTATGTGTGTCAGTTTGTTTTTGACAATGTGCGTCTGTGTTGTAATTTAGAGGATTGGCTTTTTATAGAAGATCAAATTATTTAGGTCTACTTTTTCTGTCATGCATGCAAGCTAATCATGTAGGTGAATTTAAATGTGATTTAAAGATGGGGTAAACAGGAAAAGAAACTGATATTAGTCGGATAAGGATTATCCATGCAAAGTATAAACCCTTTTGATGTTGATTTATGATTGATAAGGCTGTATCCTTTTTTTTATGAAAATGTTAAATGAATCGAAACGGGGTTTATATGAAAACCTAATTGGTTGATCAATGATCATACCAAGGAATTGCGATTGAATTATGCCATCACTGGAGATTTCAGGAGATCCGAGAATGAAATGGTGATAGAAAGAGATGGTTGATATTAGCCTATGACTACAATTGCAGGAAAGGACTTACCTCATTCATTTATATTTCCTCCATCTCATGTGATATATACATGATCTTCTTTCTTCACCTTATTGCATGATGCATGCAGGTTCTCATCTGCAAACATTAAAAACATAAAATTAGGAAGAATCCAGGGTTGAAATGTCAATTTTCATTGTAAGGAAAGTTGACTAATAAAAAGAATCTTCTTTAGATTAGGAGTGATAAACAGGCAACAATTCTATTTAACCACCAAAATGATCTTAAAGAAACTGCAATTATACATTAACTGGTGTAAAAGAACTTGCAAGCAATGCATCAATCCACAAATCACATTCACATCTACTCCTGCCTCCACTTCTACAATCACGTAAACATCTTATTAATACAGCATTCGTAAAAGAACTGCTAGTCATGTTTTCCACATATCTTTGGTTATGTGAAGGAAAGCAAGCAAATAGCGACTCTCTAATGATGTTCATCCAGCTGTCCTTGATCAAGCTCACATTCGTAGAAAATAGATCTATTTTTCTTCACATTGTTAGCATGACGGAGGAAAACATAATTCCAAAAACAAGGAAACTATTCCCAGATGAGGTTTGCATCCAGCCAATTCCACCTTTCAAGACTCCATCTGTAGGATAAAATCACTACTTTCTCCTATAAATACAGTTCTCTAGCTATTGAAGCAGAATGATTCGGATCTTGATCCCATTAAGAATAAAGATACCACAATAAGTAGTCAGAGATACAAAATTTTCACTTCTTCTACCAGCCTGGCATCAAAATATCAGAGCAGGAAAAAAGTTTAGCTTGTACGTGTGATTCATCAATCCAACAGATTTTATCTATCTAGTTAAAGAACCCACTCAAGTTGTGTTCTTAGATATCTTCGTAGATTGTTGCTTGGCCAGCTCCTTTCCAATTAAATGGGGAAGAAAAACTACTATCCTCAGAAGTGGCACTATTTGCAACCCCTTCTACAAGTCGTATAAATTCTAAATCAACTTTAATGAATATCTTAATTGTATGTATTTTCAAGTGAATCGTATCAGTCTAGAAGTGTCCAACCAAATGTTCCAAATAGAACTACAATCTTCTAAGTTCTATCATCCTTGAGCACTTGGAATAAAATGTTTCCACTTCCAATCCAAGAGTATTAGTCCGACACAACCAATGGAATATCTCAACACAAATTGGCACAAACAAGTGCCTGATAGCATGATAACTCTGACCTTTTGTCTGCAAAACCTTATCCTCGTACAAATCCTTGACAAATGACAAATGCATATCCACTAACTAATATAACTATAAATTAGTTAACCGGAAATCTAATTAAACCAGAGAAAGGTATAAATCTAAGAAAGTTAGCAAGGATTCGAGTATGAAAGATTAAGAAATTCTCCATCACGACAATGTTATTATATTTAACCACCTAAGAGATAGGTCTAGCTATGTAAAGCAGGAAATGCCAAATTAAAAGAATGATATCAAAGATAGAGCGTCAGGGAAGTTCAACTTAAAAAGAAATTGAAGATCCATGGAACACATAGAAAACACAGAAAACTTGCCTATGTAAGTACCGATCAGTAATCAGCCTCTTCCACATGGCTTCCCATCATCTTTTAGATATATTTCCATGTCTTTGAATAACGGAACTACTTGTAATCCTGTAGGTGGCAGGAATACATTGGCCACTGAGAAACTTTGCAGGACAAAAAAAGACAGCAGAGCTGTAGACTTGCACCAGAACAAACTGCAGAATTGCAGATGATTCTACGGACAGGGTATAAAACTGCAGATGATGGATATGAATTTAATCAATGGATGAACAGAAAACTTCCTTCAATCAAGGGGCAGTGAGTTGTCTTCGAGCACCATGTGTGTTCTGAAAGGATGTACCCATAGAACCGGACCATTTCCGCAAGCAGATTCAATAACTCAATATTTCCAAAATCCAGATCCTTTTCTATGTGTACAACATATGCCACCTACTGCATAAGCTTTATACTAGAATTCCCTCAAGCAAAGAAAATGCGATCAATCCCTATTGCTAAACTTTCTTTTAATTCTGGTACGAGTGGGAGAAAATGTTACGACTCAAGATGAATACTGCTACTGCAGACACAAATGTGTACATTTGGCTCACTTTTCTTAGCTGGTAAAATCATTTTTTTAAACTTCTATCACCTTAGGAAATTATAAGTAGTTCTACCAACTTCTACAAACAATGTCAAGATAAATACTTCATCCAAGATACCTCACATCAAAATCCACGAGACGTCAAAACCAATTATGGTCTAGCTCTTCAGCACATTCTCAACAGACCATAAGAATATATGGAAATAATTACTTTTTCATCAGTTTTCCAAATAATATATTCCAAAATGTAATAATAACATAGGAACCAAATTCCAAGAAAGATATCTAAATAGGTCCTCATTTGGGTGCACACCGTACCATTTTATATTATTCCCTAAAACATTTGACCTCCAAGCTTCAAACACGTACACCACCATATGTCAGTGGATGCGAAAGGGAACCTCCAGTAAATTTAAGACAAATGGTTCTCCTCTTAAGTGTTGCTAGCAAGAAGAGCTCCAAATACCTAAAAGCACAGCACGTCCTCTAACTTTGCCACAACCATACATCATATGCCACAACAGCATAAATCAAGAAATAAGAGCTAATAAAAGCACACAAAAGGGCAGCTCCTGAATGCTTTAAACAATATGCTTCTAAAGCATGAGGCCATTCTCATTATCCAATTGAATGTCTATATCATTTGAGAGAAGAATCCATTCACACATATTTCTTTTCCTGACAAAACTCCAACTTATAACACCCTGAATTACATGTCAAAACTGCACAACAACTTTGAAGGAATAGCATGCACTCGAAATTTGATTCAACTCCCAACAATGTCCATAAAGTGACTGTTAGAAGCTAGTCGAACCATATCCACCCACAGACTTTTTCTCCCAGGTCAAACTCTCAGAATGCATATATCCAGAACCAAAATATAACATGCAAATAATATCCCATTTATTTTACATAGAAAATAATACACTCAAGATCAACATATCCACCTTCGATGATATTCACCAAATGGTAACTTCCAATTTTCAAGAGAAAAATGCCCTCCAACAAAAACACTAGTATTCAAGTGCTGCATAAGATAACCTAGTAAATAAAATAATTTACTAAGACAAAGACATACAGTTTATGTCTAATTGGACGCTACATTATCTTTCTGCAACAAGACAAAATGTCATTGCAGCGTTCTATGATCTATCAAAGACAGATGGTTCCAGGAATTTTGCCAAATAGGTCAAAAAAGTAGCATGTATATTAACGTGTAAGTACTTTCCTATCCAAAAAAAACCAAAAGCTTCATTCATGCGTCGTAAACTTCAAATTGACCCCAGATTAACTACCTTATTTAGGGGGCAACATTTCTACCTAAAGTAGCATTAGCTACATTATCTTTCTGACACAAG